TGTTTTAAAACTCTGGAGAAGAAATTGGAAAGACACATCAAAGGATGGATTTTTAAAGAACTTTCTAAAATAAAATAGACTTTTGGGAAATAAGTATTTATCTTCCTGTCTATATGTTACTATTAAATTGAGAAGAGATAACAGTATTGCATTTGCACTCAAGAACAGAGTGGAACTTCCTTTGGAGGGACACTATAGTAAGGCAGTCCTGAAATATCTCTTGCTAGATTTCGCTGCAATGTTAAAACTGTTGTAAGAGGAAAAACCAGTTCTTTGGTATGTTTTGTTTACTGCCTGGTATTTTAAGAGCCAGATAACTACCAAACTGTTTTATTAAATACTAGAGGCCTAGTGCACAAAAATTTGTGCACTTGGAGGGGTCCCTCAGCCCAGTCTGTGCCCTCTCGCAGTCTGGGGCTGTCCACCTGCTGGCTTAGGCCTGCTCTCCGGGGGATCAGGCCTAAGCTGACAGTCAGACATCCCACTGGCAGCCTGGGAGCCCTCAGGGGATGTCCACTTGCCAGCGGCGAGCAGGCCTAAGCTTCAGTCAGACATCCTTAGCTCTGCTGAGGAGGCGCGAGAGGCTCCCGCCATCACCACTGTGCCGGCAGCGGACAGCCGGGCTTGGGGCTGAGCAGAGCTGACCACCAGGGGGCAGCTCCTGCATCGCACATCTGCCCCCTGGTGGTCAGTGTGTGTCATAGTGACCAGTCATTCCCAGTGGTTCTGCTGTTAGGGTCAATTTGCATATCACCCTTTTATTATATAGGATAGTGCATTAATGAGCTCTTAGTCTTGCTGCACAAGCTACTAGAAATGGAAATACCTGATAACAATGTAAATATTTACTGTAATGAATGACATTTGTACAAACTGGTATTTTCTATTAAAGGCATAAACGGAAGAATACTTAACTATTGAAAAATTAAAAAGACAGAGCATTTTAAAAACTTGTTTTAAGTAATGAAATAGTGCTTTATATCAGATAGTTTCCCATGCATTGAGTTTAACAATAAAGGCGAAATAAATAAATCTGAGATTAATTTTCTAATTTCAAAAAATAATGACTTTTCTATTAACATTGCTTATTACCTTGAAGTCTATTCACTCCCCAAACCTGATCGTTAAATAAGTAACACAGTTGAAGGTTTTAGGGACTTATAAGTTCCATTGTCACTATATGTCTAAGTTTGCTGGGCCTGCAGAAATGTCCTCATTTTAGCCTGTCTCATCAAATTTATAAAGATGTGCTTGCCCTCACTCCTTAGCAAACACCCTCTTGCAGTCACAGATAAGGAAAAGGGATTTATTTCCAGCCCTTCACGTCTGAGTCTCCCCACCCACACCTTCATCATCTGAATGTGATCTTATCCCAGCCATGCCCCTTTAAATCAGAATTTCTAAATATTAACTGAGTGACAAATTATGTAAATGTTTTTCAAAAATATTGCTTTCATCTTTCCTTTATTTTCCACTGGGAGTCTATATTTTACCATTTCTATAATACTTAAGTCCTGCTAAATGTAGCTTAACTACACTGTGGATTCCTTTTCTGGATTTGGGGAGAATTAATCCAACTTCTTTTGAACTTAAGGTACATGTAATTCAATATATTTAAACAAAGGCAGCAATAATATCCTCACATTAATATTATAGGAATGGACTTCTAAAAAATATCAATGCCCAATGGTACTTGACTTCTTAAAAATGAATTATTTGCTTGGATATTATGTCTCATTCTGTAGTTAAATTGTCTTTATAATTACCAAGCTCTAAAAATACTCTCTTTTTCTATTTTGCTATGTTAGTTTTGTTTAGCTATTCTTTGTTCCTTCCATAAGATACAGAATAGCAACTGGAACATTGTCAAATAACTAGCCTGATTTCAAAAAATATTTTTAAAACATATCTCAGTTAAAATAATACTCAGTTTTTATTTCTTCTGTTTTCAACATATTATACACTGTAAAATATATAATATATGTGGAACTCAATATCTTTTGGGGTGAAACTCTCAAGTTATCAATATATTTTTAAAGTCATTATATGCCTGAAGGGTATTTAGCAACACTTCCCTAAATTGAAATGTTCAAAACATATATTTAAGGGCAATTTGTATCAAGTGACCCAGAGAGTTCATAATTTTCAGAGATTAGAGCTTATAAAATGAAAGAGTTAGCTCTCTGGGAGATAACTCAATGACTAAAGCTGGAATGAGTGAGGCCTGGCCACAGAGCCTCCCTAGTGGGCCTCATTCTGAACCCAGATGCGCCTCTATCCTAGAAGCACAGAGAATCTTTACAGCTTAATTGTAGTGATGGCATGGGATTTCCTAGTGAGAGGATTTCTGCACCCAGAGGCAACCTTTATTACCTAAGCACAGGCACCCATCACAGTCTTTATGTCATGAGATACTTTTTCATGTGTTAATAACATAAAACATTTCATAGGACACTACAGGATGTTTATTCCCCATCTTAAATATAGATTAATACAAAATATCTTGGGGGTTTTTATATGTACATCTCTTATTGTGTGTGGCTAATTATACAAGTATATGGACTAAATTCCCATCTTATAAAACCAAAAGCATGAATACAACTTTCATTAGCTTCTTTCTTTTACCACCTGAATAATTTGCTTTTGTCCCAAACTATGTATTCTTCGTTTGCTATTCAAGATACTTGGTTTATGAAGATCTGTTTCCTGATAAGTCTGTGTTCTGGTAAACAAAGGAAGGTCAATGTAAATAAATATACATTCTACTCAGGATCTAGCCTCTTGCATAGATTTAAGTCTGAATGAAGTCTACATTACTTTTCATTTGGATCCAAATACAAAATTTTAGCACCTTGTTATTGAACAAATGCAATTACACCAGATGAAAGTCTGCATATGATATTGTAATATCAAACATCAAAAAGGAGTCAGCCTTTTCTATCTTATCAAATATATCCATTGGGGACATTCGAGTTTATTTGCATATATTTTCACATTTAAATGTCTCTGTGGATGAAAAAATTCCAAATGAATGCAAATACTAGCAAACAGATCTGGATAAATTAAGTGGTGGTGGTAATGTAGATAGAATCGAAATAGGCAAAAATAAATGTTTCTTGGCTGAAATCAGGGAATTCGAATGACTAACTCTCCAAAATATAAAGTAGGAAAACAAGAATCACTTCTCTTTAAAGTTTAATGTAAATTAAACTATTTGGAGCTCTATTTGGAGATTTTGTTGGGAAAAGTCTAAAAATGTTTTGGTAGACCTAGAGTTTTATTCTTGTGTTAGGGATATTTGGTTTGTAAACTACAGTGGTTTTTGTCCCCTTGTGCTCAACAACTTGATATAGACTGCACTTTTTTTAATAATACATGTTTTCATTGATTCCGAGAGAGGAAGGGAGCAGGAGAAAGAGATAAAAACATCAATGGTGAAAAAGAATCATCAATGGGCTGCCTTCTGCATGTCCCCTACTGGGGATTGAGCCCACAACCTGGTCATGTACCTTGACCTTAAATTGAACCATGACTTCCTTCCTGGTTCATGGGTCAAGCTCAACCACTGAGCAACACCAGCCAGACTAGACTGCACTTTTTGTATACATCTTATATATATGAATGGTTTTCATTAAAACTTTGAGGCATGAAATAGGGTTTAAAAAGTAATATAACAAGTTTCCTTATCCTATATAATAAAAGGGAAATGTGCAAACTGACCCTAAAGGCAGAACGACTGCTCAACCAGTCACTATGAGGCACACTGACCACCTCTCAGTCCCTTTCCCTGGCTGGCAGGCTCCCGTCACCTGATGGAAAAACAGGGAACCGTCTAGGGCCATACCACCCTGAACGTGCCCAATCTCATCTGATCTCTGAAAAACAGGGAATCAGGGATGGGTGGCAGTTGGGGGCGGGGGGCAGGGCCAGCTGTGGGCAGCCTGGGAAGATGGCCCTGATCACAGGCCAGGCCTAGGGACCATACCCGTGCATGAATTTCGTGTGCCCGGCCTCTAGTTTCTTAAAATTCAAGTACAGTATTAAAAGGTATTTTACAAAGCAAAATTAAATCTTACTTGGTCCTTCTCAAATTTACCAAGAATGTGATACAAAACATGATTTTAAATGTTCAGCTCTCTTTATAACATTCTGAATTTAAAAATAATAAGTTGTTCTTTAAGCACTTCAATAGAATCATTATTCTGACTAGAAATAACAGCTTCTTCAAATAACACTTTTAAATGTCACTTCGATGGTTTTCTTAAATAGTTTTAAAAGGCTGTTTTCTAATTGTAAAATAATGGTATTACAGCAAATTGGAGTTAGAGGGCAATGGAAAAGTACTGAAAGTTTTCATCCTTATCTTGGTTCTGCCAACATTAGCCTGTCGTTGCTTCTTTCCTGTATTTAATTTTATTTTCGTTTCCTCCAGAGATCAAAAATAGCAGTGTATGAAAAGATGTGGACCTATATGCGATCAGCAGAGCCGTCTGTGTTCACGAGGACTACCGCGGAGGGCGTAGCTCGAGTCCGCAAGTCCAAGGGCAAATTTGCCTTTCTCCTGGAATCCACTATGAATGAGTACATCGAGCAGCGAAAGCCCTGTGACACGATGAAAGTGGGAGGAAATCTGGATTCGAAAGGCTATGGAGTAGCAACGCCCAAGGGTTCTTCATTAAGGTGGGTGGAATAGTATAACAATATAACATGTGTTGTTATAGTATTCCACCTTCCCTGATGTCCCTGAGAGAATTATTTTTGTTTTGTTTGTGAACATGGTATGTTTGTTTATCTGTTTTCTTTTTCTCCATTTCATATTTCTGATCAACAATCAGGTAATTTTTTTAAAAAAATTTTAGAGTAATCATAATTGACACATATTTTTTTAAGGCCATATAAAAACCAAACTGGTTGAACACTAGCTGCTTCCAGTGGGCCTAAAACATGGGTAGCAAATGCTTCTATATCTCATCAACTTTTTTTGGCCACTAAAACCTACACTCTCATTGTATCAGTAATAATTCTACATGTTATCATTTTTTTAAAATTATGCCTGCCTACTAGTTTTTGAGTAAGAAGACGTCCACCTCTTTGTAGCAAACCACTTTTTTTCCATTTCAATGTTTCATTTATTATGACATCATTATATTTTAGATTATCCTGAGGTTGTATTGGTGCTAACTTTGTAATCAGATCTATTTATAAATGCAACCATGATCAGAAGGAAAACTGGGCTCTGATTTTATGGTGCTTACTCAAGTCATACTCTCACCTTTTCGCAAAGAGAGTGTGGTGTAAGTAAGATCTGTAAAATGAGGTCCAATGGCAATCCAAAACTGTTCACACGTAAACCCCTAAAGTGTGATTCGTGAGCAAAACATCACACATGATCACACATGTAGATAGCCCACATGTGTTAAAAGTGAGACCTTCATTCTTAAGGAAATGCTGGTGAAATCTGCCCTTTTCACCCTTTTGGTCCTGGACATAGAGAATGCACATGTTTATGTCCAGGAGGCAGAGTTTCCTATTTTCCTTACGGAATAAAGGCTGCTGTTGAATTGCTGGGGCTAGAGCAAAGTTGGAGTCAAAAGTGATGACTGACAAATTACTCTGGTCTCAGTGCAGCTTAGGAGAGATTCGTGCAAAGCACAGATACAGATTCCAGAAGAAATCAGAATCTTTTCTAAAGGACTTAACCAAGAACCTGGTCTTGAAAAATGATGTCCCTGGTAAGCCTTTGAAAAATGAAGGTAATGAGACTGTGCTATTGCCCAGCAGGAAAGAAAGCAACATAAAAAATATGAGATTGTTTTCATTGGTTTCAAAGAGGGAACTGCAATGTGTTTTGGATATCTGTGTTGGGCGGAGGAGGATTTGAGACAGATATAAGAAACCAATGCTATTGCTGGAAAGGGTGTACTAAACCAATATTCTGTTTTTTGCAAGCTACACAGTCATGATTAGTGAGGGGCTTGATGGTATGTTCATAAGGGGCCATTTTAAAAGAAGGTAGGACAAAATTAGCCAGTGAAGATAAATTTGGATGTGGACTTCGGCAATTCTGAAGCCAGGTTTATGTGACCATCCCTCCATACAGAACTAAAGAAATGTGCAGGGAGAAAGCCAAACAAATAAATTATCCATCACTGCCCCAAAGACTTCAACCATTCAGAAACTTCAGCAGGCATCAGGAGGGTTGATCTTTGAGGGTGTGTTTTATATAATACGATGTGAAAATATGTAAATTCAATGAGGCCAAGTAGCAAATAAATTTTTATTTGAGTAGCAGTTATAAGAGCATCTTAGTGTAAGTAATTTAAAAGAAATGGCAGGGGAGAGAGCAATGGTGGTTCATATGTAGATCAGTGCTCAGACTATTGATTCCATTCACTGGGTGTTGCTTTGGCTCTTAATTAATTCTCTGTGGATGTAGCTGCCTGTCCTCTGTCTTGTGTCTACTGATAAAGTCAAGTTCCAGGGACTGAATTTGGCCTTCAGATACGCATTGATGGCCTGACTCACATTGATGGCAAGAGTTCCCTCTTAAATGTGCCACTTTGTCAAATCCACACTACAGGTCTTGTTTGGGGGGAAGCTGAAGGGCCACATCTGTCTAGAACTGTATAATAATCAGCTATTGGCTTCCTCCTCTTTTCCTGCCCTTCCCTGGATCTTGTTAATGAGGCCATTGTTAAGCTCCGCTTCCTGGATGGAGACTTTGTTTATGAGCTTTGTTTTATGCATGCCACAATTTCCTGAGCAAGCTGGCCGCTGCATGCCAAAACCACAGTCATTTTGTCCTGCCTTTGAGAACACTGGAAGGACACTGAAGGCTAATCCCCATTCACCTAACCCCCCACCTCCCCACTCCCCCACTCCCAGCTCAGCTAAGCAACAAGCTCATTAAGCTTAAATTCTCATTCTTATTTGACTATGATCCCTCAGTTATAAAAGTGCAAACTGATATAGAGATGGACTAAGAGGCACCTTCTGAATAAATGATTTAGTTTTCAGAAGCAAATGTAAAATAATTGTGTCCATCAGAGCAAGATCCAGAGAGCATGCATACCTGCTTTGAGAGTGCCTTGAGACCTCTTTGCCTTATCTGCTCAGTACAGACTAAGTCTGTTTTCCTATAGGATCTATCTTCTTTAGCCAGGTCTTTAGGTTAATAGCTATGGATATCATAAGGCTTGTGTGTTTCCTTGTCATTAATTATGGTTTTCTCACAAGCTCTGCTGTTTTGATTCATTAGGCAACATGAGACTTTAAGAAAAGGAAGACAGTAATTTACCCTCTATGTAAGCTTAATCGGAGAATAACTGGCAATCTTCTGTTGGTCCAGAGTATTTTAAATGTCTAGACCTTATTGTTTAATCAAAATCCTTCAGAAAAGAGAA